CACCGTCAATATTTGTTTTTTCCCCAGTAAACATCTATTCACCATTACCAAACACACTCACTACACAAACACACCTGTGAGACACTATTTATTGTAAATGAAGACAGTTTCTTCTCCTTTTAATACACTCATGGACACAATCGTATTTTAGGATATTTTCTACTTCTTTCCTTTTTTTCTATAGGCCCTTTTTTTTTTTTTTTTTCTTTTTCCCTCTATTTTTTGGGCCATTTATTTAAATTTATTTTGTCCATCTTTTTTCCTGGCCTTTTGAACTCGTACAAGATGTACGAAGTTCCTTTTTACTCTCCTCAAATAGGAAATTGCCCTCTTTCTATATACCTTTCCTTCGCACTATGCTTGATTTTTCCCATCGGTGCAGAAAGACTTAGCGGGTGCAAAACAAGACATCGTCTGTGTCTGTCGTTAGAGAAATGAGGCGCTTTGATCACGTACGATGGAGGCAGGATCTTAGAAGAGCTCCTAAATTTTCAAAGTTTTTTCAGAAAAGGTCCTTTATTTAAGAAAAATTTTCGCGAATATCCCCTACATTGTCTCGTTCTCAAACCTACAGTTCTTCCGGTATTTAAAGGGCCTTATCGTCCTTGCAATCTTTTTACAACACCAAGACGGAAATTCAGATAAGTAGAACTTCTTTTCTCTAAGCAAATCAAATATCTGTCACTAAAGTACCTTTAAATTCATTTATTTATTATGATTATTAGTATGCTCATTTTATTATGTTCTGGCATTAAATACTTAATAATTGATTTAAATCACGAGGCTCCTTTTTTTGTTTCTGTTTTTTTGGTTACCATCTCGTAGGACGGGACGCCATCCTTATCAGTAGCCCTATCTGTGTGTAGTCTGTTAGCGCTACCCATTGGGGCCCCTTTGAGGAATTTCTCGAGAGGCAAAAAAACGATCTTGGGCCTCAATGAATGTATAGATTTGTAGTTTTTGCTCCTTAATCTATATTTCCTATCTGTTTAAATTAAAAGCATATATTAATACAGTGGCCTCAAATTGATAAAATAGTACACATATAATAAATTATTAGACCATTAACTTAATAAATAAATAAAATGCTTATTTTTAAAAAAAATTAATAATATAAAATTAAAAAAAAACTCGTAATTTATTTACTTTTTTTTTGCTGATGTGTTCTCGCCTTGTTTTAGATTTATGATTTTATCTGATGGTGTTTTTCTGAGTATATGAATACGTTGGAAACCGCAATCGATGATGTTTATTAAGTTAATGTATAATTTGCACGATATTATATGCATCTTGATCTTATGTGTCTTCTGTTACTGTGTCTCAAGGTAGAGGCTAACATATTGTTTCCCATGTTAAAAAATAAAAGTTTAATTTAAAATTTTTAAATTTTAGTTTCCCTGTTATAGCACAAGTAAGCTTCTAAACTAGACTGTTATGTGACTGGACCCTCAATATTTATATTTTATTATTAATTTTCCCCCATCTTCACATCTATTCAGCTTTACAAAACACACTCATTACACACACCTGGAAGACTATTTAATGTAAATGATAACAATCCTTTCACTACACTCATGGACACAATCGTGGGTTTTTTTTTTTTAACAAATTTCTTACTTCCTTTCCTTTTCTTTCTAAAGGCCCCCCCTTTTTTTTTTTTTTTTTTTTTTTTTTTTTTTTTTTTTTTTTTTTTTTTTTTTTTTTACATTATAAATAATTTTTTTTTTCCTCCCATTATTTTGGGCCATTTATTTTTTTACTTTATTTGTTCCATCTTTTCTTCCTGGCCTTTCGAACTCGTATAAATATACGAAGTTCCTTTTTACTCTGCTCTGAAATACGAAATTGCCCCCCTTTCTATGTACCTTTCCTTCGCACATATGTTTGATTTTTCGCCCATCGTGCAGAAAGACTTAGCGGGTGCAACAAAAGACATCTGTCTACTTTGTCTGTCTGTCTGTCGTTAGAACAGGCTCACACAACTCACCTCGTACTGAATGTTTGCAAACAAGTTCTGAGGTTCACTCATACCTATAAGGTGTGAATTTGTGTGTAGGGCGTATACCATCAATCAAATAATCGAAAAATGCAAATTCATAAGAAAAGATTCAATCTAGGGTATTTTATGCGTCTCTATATTTTGTTTTTTGAAAAAATATCCCAAATTTAGTTTCTTTTTAGTGAAAGCATTACGATAATTTCTCCTCCTCCTCGCAGAAATTTGTTATAACAGATAATATTTACCCTGCTTGAGGATACCTGTTCCAGCATAGTTCAATATTTGTAAATTAATTTCTGTTTTGAAGTTTTACATATGCCAAAATTGGGAATCGAATGTTAGAAATCCAGATATTTTTCAGATGCTGCTTCTGGCCCATTTTCAAATTTTGCTTACATATGGTGTTCCAGAAGAAAAGAAAGAAAATTCAAGATAACTTATATTTAAAAGTTTTGATTTGAGTGGTGCATTGCATAAAATGACAATAAATATATTTCTACAATTTAAAATATAAAAAAAATCAATTTAACAAATCAATAAAAATAATTTGTCTTCCACTTCAAGTCCGTTACCTTGATATTATTGTACCCCAATTAGTTTTGGGTAGAATAATCTCAAAGTAACAGACTTGACATGAAGTGGAAGACAAATTATTTTTCTATTGATTTGTTAAGGAAAAAAAAATTCTGTAATTAATTTTTAACATTAATATATTAACACACTAATAGTTCATATTTAAAATAATTAAACTTCTTTATTTAAAAAATAAATTAGATTGCAAAACAAAGAGGTTGAATAACATGAAACTTAAAAAGGACAGGCATTTTTGCCTGCGATCACCTATTTTAAGATTTGTATCTGAAAAAATACAGTCAATTTTTTCTATATTTTGAATTGTAGAAATATATTTATAGTCATCTTTATGCTTTGCTTTCCTGAAATTCAACTTTAAACATAATTTACCTTCAGTTTTCTTTCTTTTCTTCTGGGACAGCATATGTAAGCAAAATTTGAAAAATGGGTCTTCTGTTACACTGAAACTAATTTTTTTTTAAAAAATTAGTTAATTAAATACCTTAATAGTGAAATGAATTTTTTTTCTGTTGCTTATTATGAAATGAAACTGAGATGTTTATTTTAATACTGCATTAGCTGTAGTTATCAGACATGAAAACAGTGCCATTTGCACTTTTCTTATATCAATTGTATATCAAGCTATATTGTTATATCAAGTTATATATATATATATATTGTTATATCAAGCTTGGCAAGGAACAATCAACCCTCTTTATGTACAGGGTGTTCGGAAAATATTTTCAAAAAATATAGAAGTAGGTAGAAGAGACCGAAGTAAACAGATTTTGTAATGGAATGTGTGGGCTCAAATGCACACTGAGGTAATGCAGGATGCTGTTGAAGGAAAATAAAAGTGTTCTGCTGCCTTGAATTAATCCCTGTGTGGATTTTGAGTGCTAGGCATTTTTACCCAAAAGTGGAGCTTGCCAGCGTGCATTTTGTTTGTAAGGCAGATACAAACAGAGCATCAAACAATATCAGGAAACAGAGCACCAAAAGTTGAATTGTTCATTGTAGCACTTTCTAGTCACTGCCTCATAGATAAAATGCATGTTGATGAACTTCACATTCATGTAGCAATGCATACCATTCAAAATTCACACAGAGAATGACATTTTGTACCAGCTGAATGATTTAGCTTTATTTTAACACTGCTCTGCATCATCTCAATGCACCATTTTGACAAACTTTGCATTACAAAATCTGCTTGTTTTAATCTCCTTTATCTGCTTTTACATTTTGCAAGATATTTTTTTAGCATGCTGTGTATGAAGGGTGTTTCAAAAAGAAAGAATAGAGTTTACTTGGTAGCAATTCTTATTTCAATACAAAAATGTATCATTCATTACCTGATTGGGACTGCGGAAGAATTATTAAATCCTTGTACCTATTTTACCTTAAGAATATTTATTATCCTATGTAATTATTTTTGACAGACTGCAGTGCATAAGTTGGTTATTAGTGGTGCCCTAGGTCACTCAGGTCTTCAGACTTGAACCTAATAACCTTTTACCTGGTAGTTTATGAAAGATATGGCAACAAATTGTTACAATTGCACATCAGTAACTGTAGTGCAGTTAGAAAACATGTATGAAATTTATTACTAATTGATGCATGTTGATTTGCATGAAGTGCAGGCAGGAAATAGCTGGCATAGCAGATTTTATCTTTTCCTTCTTAGGTTATATGTGACACATTTTTATATTACAAGAAATAATTTTTCAAGCAAGTGATATATATATACACAGTGCTGAAATGAAACATGAAAGACAAATTTTAATGCATAGCTGATCTTAAAATTATCATAAAATAGTTAATAAAGATTTAAGATTTGTATATGTGAGCTTAAATCTTTATGTGTACAGTTTGTACATGCAAGCCCTTATGCAGCCTTTACTTTTGGAACTGTTGGGTATAGGCATGTACTTCTATCTGCAAAAAGGTTTTAAATAAGGCAAATATTCACCTTTTGGCATTTTTAAAATTTAAAATGTCTATTTTGTAAAAATTATGAAATCTGATATTATCTGGTCCCTGAAAAAAAAAAAAAAAAAAAAAAAAAAAAAACCGTTTGACATCAGTATGGCAAAAATGAACCAAGATTAAAATTTGAAATCATGTTTAGAGATTGTATACAAATTAAAAAACAAATTGTCTGTATTTGTATGTAACTAAAACTGGAATCTTAGTTAAGAAAAAAAGTTTTTTATGTTAATCTTTGACATAACATTGACATCTTCATAACATTGAAAAATGCCTAAGAATAATCTTTAAGGTTATTCTTAGGTTACATCCAAACTTTTAAATTAAATGTCTTGCTTTATTTATGCAAAGGTGTGGTGGAGAGGCACCGTTAACTCTTTGAAGACCATATCTCGGGCCAGACAGCTCTTCATTCAAATGACCAAATCTGCCCCAATGGCCGAAATCCCGGTGTTGCTTTCTTCTCTTCCTTAAGGTATGCAGTAGCAGGTGCAGTTTCCCCAAATGCATTATATCAGTTTATTGTAGACAGCTTGTCCTAAAAGGATTTATTTGTGGTTTCTTATCTTTATTTGTTAGAAGTAGAAAGGATGTCATTTGAAGCCTTCATTCTTCTTTGTGTGTTAATGGATAGGGAGGGTAGGAAATTGCTGTGACTTTCAAAAACCATTTCGGGTGGTTCAGTATTTTAACATACAGGGTAGCAAAAGCATTGGATTTTAAAGAGATAAGTGGTGTACAGGGTAGCGAAGGCTTTGGGTTTTAACGAGTTAGGTGGTGTGTAATTAGTACTAAACAAGGTATGCTCTAGTCGTAGAGAAGAAAGTCGCATGTGCCCAATAACTGCTGACCTACACTAACATTTAGTACATTGTATTAATAACCCTAGAAAGAGAAATATGTAAAACACTCCACTTACCCACTACTTTGGTACAGTTCCATTCAATAACTACACTCATAATGACATCAAATTAATTTATTTAATCATTCATGACTGAATAACATCTTACTCTTGGTTAAATATGGTACATGAGAACATTATCACTACAGACACTGGCTACGCACGTCACATGTGCAACCAATTACTTTCGGATATAATCTGTCCACATTGCAGGCTGTCGATCTTTACAAACATTAATTTATTCTCACTTGCACTGGTGCAGTCAAGATGCTCACGATGTATCACTTATTTTCTGCAAAAGAGATTCTGGAATGGAATTTACTTTAATTTTTAAGCTCGACAAACATTAAGGGTTTTTCAGCTACATCATACTTTTCACAAAATGCACGGCACGTGCTTCAGTCATGATGAGGAAATGCATAAAAATTGCAGAAATATAAAAACATGAGGAAATACACAAATGATGTAGAAGATTACCACTCTGCAAAACTTTTAAGAACATGCAGACTTGATTCCTTTCTCGTTTTCTGCACCTTGTGCTTTTTAATTAACTCCTCGTACCTCCTTGAACTCCATTACGGGAGGAGCGAGGGCCGAAAACCCCATTTTCCCATTCAACATAGGCATCAGAATGAGAGAAAAAAACCAGTTTTGCGAGAATTTATTTCACCATGCTGCTATTCAATGATGATTCAACTTACAATTAAATGGATGACAATTAAATCTATCAGTGAGAAAATTGTATTCTCACAACAGGAATGAAGCTTTTCATGTTCTGTTTTTTAGAATGACTATAAACTCTTGTTAAATGTAACTGTAGGGACTGTGGAGCCATAAAAAATTAGATTCCATAATTTTTACAAAATCAATTTTTGTAATATGAAGATATCGTAACATGATATTTACATCATGTAAAACACTTTTGTAGTTGGAAGCACGTCTGCTGCCAGCAGTTGTTAAAAAACAAAACAAAACAAAAAAAGCCTGCAAATGATTTTTATGGAACTTTATATGTATACACACATATATAATTATAAATGCTATAAATATTCTTATATATATATACAGTACAAAGTCCAGAATCCGGTCGTCCAAAATCCGGACCTCAAAACCACCAGCAACGTTTTTCTCCTAGGCTTTATGCACTGATTTCCCCCTCCCCCTCCACACATAACAAAACATCTGGAGAGACCCAATTCTTAATTTCACTTCGACATTAAATACCTTGTTATTGAAGAAACAATCATTTTAGCATAATTTGTACAATCAGTAATTTGGCTCCCTTGCTGCGTATCTGCTTGGCACACATCTCAAACTGAAACATTCCACATAGTTACATCGTTGATCTGATGCAAACCTGGTGAATAATTATTTTATATACCTTTCCCTTCATCATCGCATGTTTATCAAAACATGACAATTTTAGTAATGACTCATGTAGCGATGCTTAAACATTTTTTTTTTTTTATGTTAGTAATTGAATAATAAAGAAGTATGGTAACCTTTTATGTTGATATTACGCTTGGCGATGATTACAGATTTAAGTTAAATGCGCAAAAATATGCTGATGAGAAAAAATATACCAAAATTATCTTTCCATATGTTTAAAATAGATTTTGTTGATGATACTCATAGACTCAAAGATTACATTTAGGGCTATTTTAATTAAGAATAACTGATTTGTTATTCACATAAAACCAGAACCAGTATCAGGGATCGTATGGCCGCACCGAGTTGCAGAATTTAAGACCCACAGAGACTGCATCAGGCGGTATGATATCTAGTGCCGGCCCTCAATAAGGCTTAAGTAGTGGGAATTACAGTGGATGAACAAAAATATGGAAACACCTTGTGAAATGCATGTTTGAAAAGAAAGATTGATTTTAACAAAATATGTAGGTGGTGCTGGCGTTTTTGACTACTGACGCCACCTATACAACTTTGTAAATGTGCTAAACAGTTCAGTTGTTCTCAGAGTACTGTTATGTGAGGTTGTCATTGCATTATGTCAGAGTTAACAGACTTCGAACGTGGGCAAATTGTTGGAGCACGTATGGTAGGTGCTTCCGTAAGCAAGGTAGCCAAGGTGTTTAGTGTTTCAAGAGGTACTGTATCAAAGATTTATTCCGCATATTTGAAAAGCGGAAAAACATAATCTGCTAAATCACAGCACGGATGAAAGTGTGTCCTGAGTGATCGTGACAGACGATCATTAAGGGCAATTGTGATGAAAAATAAGAAGACTACAGCTGCAAAAGTTACTGCTGAAATGAATGTTGTGTTACCAAACCCTGTGAGTACCAAAACAATTAGAAGGGAGCTTCATAAACAGGGAATTGCTGGCCGTGCTGCAATTGAGAAGCCACTCATCAGTGATGCTAATGCCCGTAACAGGAAAAGGTGGTGTTTAAGTCATAAAGCCTGGACTATAGAAGCAGTGGAAGCGAGTAATATGGTCTGACGAGTCTTCTTTCACATTGTTTCCCACTTCTGGCCGAGTTTACGTCTGGAGAACGCCATCTCAAGCCTATAATACAGACTGCTTGTTGTCAAGAGTAAAACACGGCGGGGGTTCTGTTATGGTTTGGGCAGCCATATAGTGGTTCTCTGCTAGCCCCATGATAACTGTGTCAGGGCATATGACTGCCAAGACTTAACTTTTTGGCCGATCAAGTTCATCCCATGGTACAAACTTTGTTCCCCGATGGTGATGGTGTCTTCCAAGAGGACAAAGCCCCTGTTCACACAGCTCACATTTTCCAGGACTGGTTTTCTGAGCACGAGGATGAGTTGTCCCATCTCCCCTGGCCACCACAGTCACCAGAGTTGAATATTATCGAACCTTTGTGGTCTACATTGGAACGGAAAGTGCATACTCGTTATCCACCGCCAACATTGTTATCTGAACTTGCCATCATTTTTCAGGAAGAATGGTATAATATTCCCTTGGCAAACATAAAGGAACTGTATTTATCCATTCCGAGAAGACTGCAAGCTGTTTTTGGATGCCAACGGGTTTCTTACACCATATTAAGCAAAGGAACATATTTTTTTAAAGGTGTTTCCATATTTTTGTCCAACCCCTGTATTTATTCAGAACTCTGATAAGTCTTGAGCATGTGCAAGAAATTGACATAAGTATAATAAATAAGTAAACTAATACAATCCAAGCGTAATTGTCTCAGTACGCGATAGAAGCAAAATAAAATTTAATGGGACAACTTGTCGTTAATCGCCAAGCTCATGATGCATAGCCAAATTTGTGTAGTGAAGGATAGTTAGATTTGTGTAGTGAAGGATAGTTAAATTTGATGATTATAGCCACGAATTTTAAAGGTTTTCGGATATCGCAAATCATAGGTGAAGTTTTCCAATTAACTGATTTTATAAAGAAGTGTGGAGAAGCGGTAACAAATGAAGATGATATAAAAGAAGTTTTTCATTGTGATGACAAATGCTTCTCAATCAATTAATGAATGGCGAAATCTGTAGTAATGTTCTAGATCAAGAAAATACCGCTACCGATAGTGAAGAAAGTGAGAGAGAAGTTACTGAAAACGAGAAAATTTCGATTGACAAGTTACTTGGAATTCTCGGAACAGCAGTTACAGGACTTCGACAATGTAATCAAACAAGAGATTATGTCTATCTACAGAATTAAAGAGAAAATATTAGCACAAAAAACGAAGCAACTTAAACAACTTGCATTGAGAGAAATGTTTAATAAGGTAAACAAATAAATATTAAGCTTTTTTTTGTGAATTTTGATATCGTTTAGATCATAAATACTTCATTATTTCATAAATTGCAATTTCATATTTTAATTTTATAATTTCTACATGCCATCTTACTAGATTTAAATTGATGATCTAATGTCCGGAAAAATCCGGAATCACCGAAGTCCCGACGAGTCCGGATTTTTGACTTTATACTGTATATAGATATGCATATAGAGATAGATGGATAGTTATAAATATTCCTATATTGTATTGTAAATTCTGACGCTATCTCAGATGTGCACAGTTCAATTAAATGAGTAATCCCGAATATGAATTACAAATCAAGCTAGTGAAGATTTATCTATTTGTGCTGGTGTGTTTTAACCTGTATGTGTCAATGGCATGCAGTAGCTTTAACAAAACAAAAAAAGGGGGGGCTAGGTATTAAGAAAAATTGTGTTTACATATTAGCTCTGCTGCCTTGGTGCAGTTAGCCAATGCTTTGCAGATGGGAAAGAATTATAAAACATAATTGTGAAAAATTATTTATTAAGTGTATATATCAATTAAATAATTATCCTGAAAATCAATCTGTAAACTTACTTACAAGCCAGTTTTTATTTCTTTTGTTCTGGTGGAAGTTTTGCATTGATTGTTTTAACAAGAGATTCAAAACGTTGTTCTCTTTAACAATTTTGCTGCAAAATGCTATGTGTCCACAGAATTTCACTGCAGTTTCTTTTACTCAATGCAAATATCACAGACACATGTTTTAGAGTTGAGTTAGAGGCGAAAAATGTCATGATTTATCTAGAACTGATTTATTTGGAAGTATTGGAATGAAAACTGTTGAAA